ACATTACACAATTTGTCCTTTTCGTGACCAGCACTGAACCCCTGGCGATCATTTACAGTCTCCACTAAATTTCTCCTATTTGTTGTCCTTATTAAGTACTCCTTGACTTCGATAAGAAGCGTTTTCCGTGGGCCGATAGTTGTGCCGTTAAAGAAACGATGGCAGGATCAATGAAAAGAGAATCATATTCAAATCTAATGGTATATGTAAGGAGACAATTGTTTAGACATCGAATATGCTGGCAGCTTGGAAAGAGACTCTCTGAAATCGTTCCTTTCCCCGAAGGCCAATCGTTGTTTATCTCCTGCGTTCAATTTCTTCGGTCTCCCTATAGAACTGCAACTGTTAATACTGAACCAGGTTTGTTATGCTCCAATAATCAACAGTTTTACCTTAAAATGAAATCGTCTTACAGTTGTCTTCACGGGATTTGAACTCGTGCCGTCTTACATGCCAGTGGATGAATCAAGTTATAGTTGAAAATTGGTCTCAACTTCGTTCACGTGAGATTGGATGTGTTGATTTTATACCGGTAACTTTTTTGCTTGCCGAGAGGCAATTACACGCAGGAAGTTGAAAGTTGGCTTTCTGTTATAAAACGCGCTGATCCCTCGATGTTTCTGCGCTACAGCGGGTGCAGGGGATCTCCATATTGTTGCAGCTAACTCTGCTTCTTCTTTTGTCTTCATGTTCTTGTCTTACCCCTGACTTCATTTCTTTGGGGATTTATGTTTCTCAAAATACAATTTTGTACTTTTCTTAGGCCCCTTTGCACTTTTCTGGAACATCACTTCCACCACTTTTTGATCTTATTCGTTTATTAATTTATCTTTGTTTTTACCTTTATTTTGTGTAAGAGCTAGCAGAATTCCATCACCTTTTCAACGCAGTTATTTCTAATGACACCATAAGAATTGATTCCAATGATGTTTGCTGTTTGAGAAGAAATTACAGAACTGCAGCAAATAGAAATATAGTAAATTCAAGTACCTTAGCAACAGTATTGTGAACGATATTTCATGCTGCTTAACATTAATGTACATACGCAAAAGTTCGCTGAAAGGGGAGTGAACATCAAAGGAACAGGCCATTTCTAATGCTTTCAATTCATGTTCCTTTATCCGGGGAAAGCGTCATGTTCAGCAGAGCACTTGATGTGTTGTCTTTCCATAGTTTGATTGTTTGTTGTCTTTCCATATCTTAATTGTTTTGCATTACAGGGATGCCAAGAAATATGGGGACTTTATTATGACTACTCCAAGAAGTTGACTTGCTTTCAACATTCTATTATTTCTCGGCTTGTTGTCTACTATGTGGGCATAGAATTATAATTTCTCTATACTGTATGAGAGATTATTCGGAAATCGTTTCAGGGTATAATAACTTCTTCTCTCCTGAAGTCGCTTTCAAAAACGCTCTCAGATCTACGAATATCTGTGAAGACCCTAATAATTCATAATTGTCGATGTGACTGTACAGTTTCCGAGTTCATAAATTTCATCGTATCCGCAAATGTGGAGGTATTAGCAATAGATGTGTTCGAGATGCGAGCGTTCGGACAGTCCATTGCAAATGACAAAATAATTAGGGATGTAAGTTCAGTAACTTCCTAAAATTCAATTGGTGTTGAAGAAAAATTCTCCAGTCATATCTTTTTTCTTCAGTTGAAATGTTCTCTAGTGTATGTGAACGGCGACGATGTTATCAGTGGAATTGTGGTTAACTGCTTCTATGAAGGCTCTATAGAACTGAGTGGATTTTCGAGGCTTTTATCTGTGAGTCCTTTAGATGAAATGGCAGATCTGTAGGTTGTACCATGAATTACTCCAATAATCAAAGATAACCAGCGAACAACTGACTCTTCTGGCCCATTAATGGTCAGCATTTTTCGTACTTCTTGTNCATTGCAAATGACAAAATAATTAGGGATGTAAGTTCAGTAACTTCCTAAAATTCAAATGGTGTTGAAGAAAAATTCTCCAGTCATATCTTTTTTTTTCATTTCAGTTGAAATGTTCTCTAGTGTATGTGAACGGCGACGATGTTATCAGTGGAATTGTGGTTAACTGCTTCTATGAAGGCTCTATAGAACTGAGTGGATTTTCGAGGCTTTTATCTGTGAGTCCTTTAGATGAAATGGCAGATCTGTAGTGTTGTATTATGAATTACTCCAATAATCAAAGATAAAATACTTACCTAACCAGCGAACAACTGACTCTTCTGGCCCATTAATGGTCAGCATTTTTCGTACTTCTTGTAACAATTTATCGACTTACTTTTAGCTATTAAACTTTTGGTTTTCCCAATATGTTTGGTAATTACTCGTAGGACGATTACTGCTGATTCAAGAATCCTTCCGTTTTCTCATCAGCATAGGGTCTATTTGAGGGCCCTCGGCGGAGGATTCTGGGCATAAAAAGAGCAGGCCCCGATATTAGTGGCATCAATGTTGTCTCACCATTTTTTGTGGTGTTTGATCCTTCTTGATTTCCGTAAGCTGATATTTTCGAAAGATGATTAAAGTTTCATGACATTAGGCAATCCTACTTATATAATCCGCTATCTGTGTCTGCTGGTGTGTTTTCGTGTATGTATGTATGTGTGTGTGTATGTATTTGTGTGTGTATGTGTGTATGTATGTGATTGTCTGTCCGGAAATGCATAGCTCCTGTCCAACTGGACCTAGTGCGTTCATATACAGGTGCGCCATAAATATGGTATTAACTTTTCGGACGTCCGGAATTTTCTTGTTTGGAGGGTTTTTCCTAACCTGCACCTTCCCTTATGTTTATGTTATACCTTAAACTATTTATCTACTTTGGGGCTTTCAATTAGCCAGATTTCGAAAAAGAGTGGAGCCTCGCAGACATCCACCGGCCGTTCCGTCTTTGCGCGCATTTGGTGAGCCCCTTTCCGGCATCTCTCCTCGTTTCAACATTTCCCCCCACTGACAGTCTCCTGAATCGCGATGCTTAGACAGGTCGGGGCAAACCCCAAAACGGTCGTCTTGCCTCACATACAACCCCTTTTCCGAATAGAGTTAGTTGGGAAGGAGTATGATGCAGAACGTGCACAAATACGAGACATATGACAGCTGATTTGTTTGTATGTTCTAATCTAATGGGGGAGTCTACCAAGAGTGAATACGATTGTATCCGAATAAGATTCAAAAGCCTTGTAAGCTTTTGTGCGAGAAGAAGTTGAAGAGAAAAACAGATGCCATGCGGTACTTGCGCGCGGCACGCGCTTCGACAAACCTTCTCTTGACTAAAGTGTGTTCAGCGTGGAAGATGTTGAGACCCCAAAGTATACATACATTACGTATACATTACGTATTTCGAGTGCTGGAGCCGCTGAGAAGAGTCAGATCGCCTCTTAAGGCCGTTCTCCCTCTTCGATGATAGTTTTTGCTAGAAACTCTACCATCAGAGCGATATCGCAAATTTTGGTTGGAAAAGGTACAAAATTCGATCCAAAACTCTTTATGAAGGGTTTTTCTGAAAGAATACAGCTGAGGGTCCAAGATTTTTCTAAGGTTACGATTTGAAAACTACGGCGCACCTGCTCACGGATGGGAAAAGTTAAGACTGGTGCCGAGGGAATATTCGCAACTTTATTCCAGCTCCCAATCCTCCTAAAAATTTCCCGGACCGCAATGTGATGTGTTGCTGGATGTACTTCATACTGGAGAGGAAAGCCTGCGCTTCATAACGCACAACTGTTGCTGCTCATAGGAAGCCATCGGAAAAATCCCAGGCTGGAGTTTCTCAAGAAGCTCTATGTGCTGCCAACGATGAGTAGCCGAAGCATCTTTGGGCTATAATTAATGCAGGAGACAATTATATAAGATGACCGTGTGTTCATTTTGTAGATGTGATGCATAGTAAACAACTCACATGAATTCGCCATGTATCAATATGAACTGCGGTTTTTGTAGCCCAATTCTTTTGCTACCATATGTATAGCGCACCCTGTATATAAGAGTACAGGGGACAAAATGGAAACACTTACGATGGGTGGCAATACCAGATCTCAGCCAGGGGGACGGGGCTCGTGCGAAAAGTGTTAATGTGGACTTAGAGCGCTCAAATTCGGTGGAATAAGGAGCCAGGATAGGAATACTTATTGTAGACGGCATGACCAGACTCCGGCCACGGGACGGGCCATGCGCGAAAAGTGCTAATTTGGGCCTAGAGCGTTCAAACTTGGTAGAAAAACAGGAGTTTCGATGGGAACACTCATGGTAGGTGGAAAAACGAGGCGCTGCCTACGGGGGCGGAGAGCGCGTAAATTGAGCGTAATCTCAGTGGACTTGCGCTGTCAAGTTGAAAAAAGGAGGAAATGATCCTTCCCGCTTAAACACGCGTGAGATGAGCTGAGCTCCGCTCATGACAGGAGAGGCGCTCACGGAGTGTCGAATCTGTGTGTGCGTTGTTTTTGCCTCATGTTCTACTGTATCAAAGCGTGCAAATTTGGAAGGGAGCGGGCGACAGGCCATTTTTCAGCATGTGAAAAGATATTAGGCTGATGTATAATTACTGTGGATTTTTTCGCGGTTCTTTTCTCGCGATACATTCGAATGTAAGATTCGGGGCTGGAAATAATCCTCTGGATTTCCTCAATAGAAACGTATCTGGAAAGTAATATTCGTATTCGCCACATTATGCTCTATTACTTCAATAAATGTCTAGGGTGGTAGGCGTCATTTCGTGATCTCAACGAACTCTTCGGTGATGGAACAGTCAGCCGAAGTCCAGTAAGGCAAGGAATCCGCCAATAAATTCGTCGTATTAACCGACAGAAACTTCTTTGGATCATCACGTCAACAGTTCGTTGAAAAGTTTGCTAGCGAATGGAACTCGCGACGAAATGGATGTCTTGATGGCTGATGTCAAGGCGTGGATCGCCGCCGAGAATCGAAACTTGTCTGCCTTGGAAAACCGTCTGCCTAGCAAATGGGAAGCAGTGCTTGACGTAGATGGTAGATAGGTTCCGGAGTAATTATTTGAACATGTTCTTATTCGGTATTTTTTATCGTTTATTCATATAAAATTTGCTTAAAAAATCCGCAACAATTATGCATCAACCTAATACAACTGAATGGAAAAAAGATCCGATTCTGACATGCACAGCGCGATGAAATT